TGGAGGAGTTCTTTTAAAGTTGCTTCTTTAATTTATAAAAATCATACATACACACATTTGAAATATTTGCTTAAGGTTCATATCTAATATGTGTTATTGCAACTTAAAATGTTTATTGAAACTCATTTGTAATGGCAAATATAAATTTTTGCAATAGCGTAAATTGTAGGCCTCTTAGAACGGCTTTACATAAAAAGGCCTAACTAAATTATTTTCGGGGATATTATTGAATTGCAGTGATTAGTTCCGTTCAATTTAATAAAAGTATTGGTAAAATGTATTGCAAGCAGTGCGGATCATATATGTATGTACAAGCAAATAAATAAATACAATTATTGAAAGTTAAATTTGTTGCAGAATTAAGTAATTTATTTACATCCATAATGTTACCACATTGCATAAAAACAGGTATAGTTATTAAAAATTGTTTGGTCCAGCTTAATTAACGTTTTTCATATAACGTTTCAAGTACATATTTAATGCGCTTAACGGAAAATTTCAGATCTAAATTTCTACTTCTCTTAAAATTTAAAATATTTTATTTTTATATTCTTTAAATACATATGCATGCAATTTACCAGCTAAATCGTATACTAACTATTAGTTTTTGCAGCGCTTTGATACCATATTCACTTTGCCGCCATTGCAATGCTTACCATTTGACGCACAACATGAACATCCGTGGTGGTATATGGCTCTATATCTTGCTTACCCATCGTGACATCGCAATCCATGCGCGCCACGCCGCCATTACTTGAAGGTGCACCTGCCACAGACTGTGCTGAGGCATGAAATTCTATACATTTTGTAACCGTCAACAATTCATCCAGATTGCTTACACTAATACCTGCACCTGGCATTATGACGATGTCACGATGTTTGGCAATTAATTGTGCGAGATTTTCACTTCCCTCGATAGCAGTGGCACGAAAGCCGCTACTAAGTAAACGCTTAAACCCCAGCTCCTTTATTATAGTGACTGTTTCATGCATCAATTGCGGATTGGTGAGATCGAATGCTCGATGAAATGTGACTGGCATGCCTGCAGCATGTTCTATTACACGATGACATTTTTCCACATCGATTGTACGTTGGTCGGTGAGGGCACCAAAGACAAAACCATCAGCGCCATTTGCACGCAGTAGTTCCAAATCCAAAAGCACTACTTCCATTTCTGAGTTTGAGTAGGTGAAGTCATTACCGCGCCTCGGCCGTAGCATACAGTAAATGGGTATGCTAATGAGCTTTTTGATCGTCTTCAACGAACCAGGAGATGGTGTTAGGCCGCCTTCTGTTAACGCCGAACAGAGTTCAATACGTGCCGCCCCACCTTCCGCTGCAGCTAGTGCTGATCCGATTGAGTCGACACAAACTTCCAATTTTATATCGTGTGTAGACATTGAAACTACGAGTTTTCCTTTTAGTTTAATCCAGGGTCTGTATTAATTTCAAAATATATATATCACCTGCCAAACAGTGACCAAAATAAATTTATTAGTGGTGGCGAATTAATATAAGGTGATAGCAGGAGTACAAAAACAAAAATTTACATGTGTTTTGTTTTTGCTTTGGCGTTTTGGTTTTGTTTTCGCCTTGNGTAGGTGAAGTCATTACCGCGCCTCGGCCGTAGCATACAGTAAATGGGTATGCTAATGAGCTTTTTGATCGTCTTCAACGAACCAGGAGATGGTGTTAGGCCGCCTTCTGTCAACGCCGAACAGAGTTCAATACGTGCCGCCCCACCTTCCGCTGCAGCTAGTGCTGATCCGATTGAGTCGACACAAACTTCCAATTTTATATCGTGTGTAGACATTGAAACTACGAGTTTTCCTTTTAGTTTAATCCAGGGTCTGTATTAATTTCAAAATATATATATCACCTGCCAAACAGTGACCAAAATAAATTTATTAGTGGTGG